TGGGGAAACTATACTCTGGGGATAAAAAACCGTTGAGGGGGAGCAACTGTGTATGATAATATGGCTACTCTCCAAAAGCGCATCGGAAAAAGCCAGGTTTTGAGATCCCTCTTGAAAGTTTCTAAGGTGGGGACCTTCCTAATCTCACCGGGCAATGAGTTCCAGAGTCGGGGGCCACAGAGGAGAAGGCTCTCTCCCTTGTACTTACAAAACGAGCCTGTGATAATGGCAGGGGCGAAAGGAGAGCCTCCCCCCAGGATCTAAGAGCTCAGGCTGGTTCATGAAGAGAGATCCGGTCACGAAGGTAGGTGGGTCCCAAACCATTTAGGGCTTTGTAGGTGATAACCTGCACCTTGAATTGGGACCAGAAGACAAATGGCAGCCAGTGAAGCTCCTTAAACAGGGGAGTTGACCTTTCCCTATAATTCACCCTGGTTATTAATCTGGCTTCTGCACATTGGACGAGTTGTAATTTCCGGGCCGTCTTCAAGTGTAGCCCCACGTAGAGTGCATTACAGTAATCCAGTCTAGAGGTAACTAAGGTATGGACCACCATGGTCAAGTCAGACTTCACGAGGTATGGTTGTAGTTGGTGCATGAGTTTTAATTCTGCGAAGGCCCTCCCGCCCACCACCCACACCTGCGCATCTACCGTCAGCGTTGAATCCAGGAGGATCCCCAAACTACAGACCTGTGACTTCAGGGGGAGTGCGACTCCGTCCAGTAAAGGTTGCCACCCAATACCCTGGTCAGATGAGCGACTGACCTGGAGGACTTGTCTTGTCAGGATTGATCCTCAGCTTGTTTGTCCTCATCCAGATTGTCACAGAAATGTATGGAATCTTTCAGGTGTTTCACAAGTCTCTTGTGTCATCAAGTCTCCAGTCCTCAATGAGTATCTAGACTAGAGATAGGATTAGGCTGAGGGATTAGGTGAGGCCTGGTATGAGAAAGAGTGGGGTATTATCAGGATAAGACTGTGGCTCTCCCTCTAGGTGCACAGATCTAGCTACATGCAGAGAAAGGCAGGAAGGTGAAAAGAGAGCTCGTACCTGTGTGGGATGTCTTCAGGAGCAACCTGGAGGCCGGAATCCCTGGCCAACCCCCAACAAGGCTGAACTCAGCTCTTTCAGATGAGCAGGAGTCCTTTGTGCTTGGAAGGCGAGCCCTGTGTTGGGTTTCATCCCTGGACTGCACAAGTCTCCTGTGTCATCAAGTCTCTAGACCTCAATGAGTAGCTAGACTAGAGATAGGATTAGGTTGAGGGATTACTCATCCCTTCCCCACATTCCTATGGATGTTTCCCAAAAGGGCTTTGTCTTAACTCTTCCTCCTTGCTGCTGTCTCCTTCCCCTTTGATTATTATTATTATTATTTAAAAGTTTTGTATACCGACCTTCTCACCTCTCTTGAGGGACTCAGACCGGTTTCCAACCATAATATCGCATACACTCACACTTCCTCTTTAAGGTATTTTTATTGCCTTGGATTGACCATGTGGTCTCCACCACTGCCTCTTCTGCCTTTTTCTTCTTTCCAGTGAGGATGCACATTTTGCCTCTCTCGTTAGGCAAAATGTAGCTGCATGGATTTTTGATGATGTAACAATAGAATTCTTTGAGCAAACTTCCTTTTAAAAGATTTTTTTAAATTGCCCTGGGGTTGCTCATGCGGTCTCCACTTTTTTCCAGTCTCTTCTACTTTTCTACCTACAAGGATGCACATTTTGCCTCTCTCTGGGCAAAATGTAGCTGCATGGATTTTTTTTACCCTTTTACCTCTTTAGAAGATGAAATTTAGTAAGCTAGTTAGCTCCAAGACCCTTTCTATCAAGAATATATTTCTTTTACCTCAGTAAATCCTGCGTCATCCTAAGGAATAGAAGCTTATCTCGGCCCATCACATGTAAATTTCTGCTGGTTATGAAGTTTACTTCTGATACTCTGCTATATTTATAGTGGAATCACCCCAACTGAGGGTTATTTTGGGCCTAACAGCTCAGATTCCCCAACACTCCGCCTTTGAACAGCTTCGCAATCTGGGATTTGATGGCCTTCTGTTGAGTTAGAGAAGGAGGCTTGGATACACAGGGGCTGTGCCCAATGCTCTTCCCTTGGAAATATGGCCTCCCCAGGGCCTTTGCAGCTCACTGCAAAGCTTGTGGCTTCTGGCTGGAACTAATAGCCTTGGAAAGGACACTCCACCCCCAACCCCAGCCTTGGGAGATGTCTTGCTTGGCAAAGCTGTTGGAAATGTATGGCATCTTACAGGTGTTTTAGATATATAGTGTTAGGTTTCATCCCTGGGCTGCATAAGTCTCTTGTATCATCAAGTCTCCAATCCTCAATGAGTAGCTGGACTACAGATAGGATAAGGCTAAGGGATTCCTCTCCTCATTCCTATGCATGTTTACAGGGCAGCTCAACCCATTATGCAAAATAAGCAATCGCAGTATAGTTGATTTTGCCCAGGGGCGCTCTTGAGGCGCTCTTGGGGGAAAATAGATCTTGACATTTGGGAGCTGTAGTTACTGGGAAGTATAGTTCACCTTCAATCAGAGCATTCTGAACTCCACCAATGATGGAATTGAACCGAATATGGCACACAGAACTCCCACAACTAAACAGAAAATACATATCAATGATTGGGGGTTTTTTTTGGGGAGGGGGCGCCATTGAAATTACCATTGAAATTACCTAGGGCCGCCTCTGCATGTTTATCAAATAAAGCATTGCTTTTCATTCTCCTCCTCCTTGCTACTGTCTCCTCCCCTTTGAAGATGTAGCAGTGGGATTCTGTGTGGGAACTTCCTCTTTAAGGTATTTTTATTGCCTTGGAGTGACCATGTGGTCACCACCATGGCCTCTTCTGCCTTTTTCTTCTTTCCAGTGAGGATGCACATTTTGCCTCTCTCTTTAGGCAAAATGTAGCTGCATGGATTTTTTTTTTACTTTTTATCTCTTTAGAAGATGAGATTTAGGTTTTTTTTGTTTTTTTTGTTTTGTTCATTTTTGTTTTCTATATACACTATAAAACAATAAAAAATTAAAATACAAAAAAGGAAGAAGAAGAGATTCGGTAAACTAGTTGGCTCCAAGAGCTTTTCGATCTAGAATCTGTTTCTTTTACTTCAATAAATACTTTTAAACCAAAGTTCTGACTCTACAATCCTGTGCCATCCTAAGGATTAGAAGCTTATCTCAGCTCATCACATGTAAGTTTCTGCTGTTTATGAAGTTTACTTCTGGTATTCTGCTATATTTATGATGGAATCACCCCAACTGAGAGTTATTTTGAGCCTAACAGCTCAGATTCCCCAACACTCCGCCTCTGAACAGCTTCGCAATCTGGGATTTGATGGCCTTCTGTTGAGTAAGAGGAGGCCTGGATACACAGAGGCTGTGCCCAACACTCTTCCCTTGGAAATGTGGCCTCCCCAGGGCCTTCTGTAGCTCGCTGCAGTGCTTGTGGCTTCTAGCTGTAATGAAAGGCCATGGAAAGGACACCCCCACCCCCAACCCTAGCCTTGGGAGATTACCTCCCTTGTTTAGCTGTTGGAAATGTATGGCAACTTACAGGTGTTTCAGAAACAGAGTATTAGGTTTCATCCCTGGACTGCACAAGTCTTTTGTATCAAGTCTCAAGTCCTCAATGAGTAGCTACACTACAGATAGGATTCCTCCTCATATTCCTATACATGTTTACCAAAAATAGCTTTTTCTTTCCTACTACTGCTAGCCACTGTCTCCTCCCCTTTAAAGATGTAGCAATGGAATTCTGTGTGGAAACCTTTTTTGCCCTGGGTTGACCATGCGGTCTTCGCCATTGCCTCTTCTGCCTTTTTCTTCTTTCAAGTGAGGACGCATTTTGCCTCTCTCTTTAGGCAAAATGTAGCTGTATGGATTTTTAAAAACTTTTTACCCTTTTAGATAAGATTTAATAAGCGAGTTAGCTCCAAGACCTTTTCTATCAAGAATGTATTTCTTTTACTTGAAGTAATACTTTTGAACCTTAAAGTTCTGACTCTGCAGTCATAATCCAGCCTAAGGAATAGAAGCTTATACCAGCTCATCACATGTAAGTTTCTTCTGGTTATGAAGTTTACTCCTGGTACTCTGTTATATTTATGGTGGACTCACCTTCAAAATAACTGAGGGTTATTTTGAGCCTAACAGCTCTGATTCCCTAACACTCCGCCTCTGAAAAGCTTCGCCATGAGTCTTGCCACAAAGACACACCACAAAAGGAATAGAAAGAGAATGGCAGTCATGTTTTGGGAGCCAGCAGGTGGCAATCTGGGATTTGATGGCCTTCTGTTGAGTAAGAGAAGGAGGCCCAAATGCACAGAGGGTGGACCCAATGCTCTTCCCTTGGAAATGTGGTCTCCTTGGGGCCTTCTGCAGCTCATTGCAGTGCTTGTAGTTTCTGCCTGGAATTGACACCCCCACCCCAGACTTGGGAGCTGTTCTGCCTTGCAAAGCTGTTGGAAATGTATTATAGTGTTTCCGAAAGGGAGCTGTTGTGATGCCAGAAAAATCCCATAAGGAAACTCCTGTAATGTCTCAGCCAATGAGAAGGCAATATCAGTCTAATTTCAGCTTCCATTGGGAGATTCTCCAGCTTCAATGCATACACACACACATCCCAAGACAGAGGTGCTTTGGGCTGTTTGATACCAACTGCACAAACCAGTTCCATCTTTTGTTTTGGAAATGGCTCCAGTGTCAACAAGCCCCATATACTGGTCTGGCTTTGGGTTTGTCAGTCTGACCGCAAGGGAGGACAAAGGGCTTGTGAAAGAGAAAACCCAACACCCAATGAAAACCACCCCCATCCCCCAGAGTGGCAAAGAGAGAGGTCTGTGGGGTCTTCTCAATTGTGAAGAGGCAATCTGAGGACCAGCAGAGGTGTTGGTGGAGAAAATATCCCCCCCCCCCCAGTTGTATCACCATGTCTCTGGCCCACGCGAGGAATAACCCACCCAGCTCCCATTTGAAATCACAATTTCTCTTGGTTTAAACAAAATGTATAAATACAACAAAGCAGCACACATGAAGAGACCACAGATATTATCTGGCTTAGCACCATTGAGAAGGAGGTGTCTCTGTGCGAGAGCATCTGCGTACATCTGTGTGTGTTTATGTGTGTGTGTGTGGACGGTGGGGAGGCAGGGAGCCCTGGGCCAAGCCCTCCTCTAGTCCAGCTCCATTGCCTTGCAGGCTCTTGGGGAGGAGGGGGCTTGGTGGAGGAGGTGCCCAGAGCAGCCTTTGCAATGGGCAGGCGAGGCCAGGGATGTGTCTGTAAGCATCAGCGTTTTTCTGAGTGGGGGAGCCTTGTCATACAGATCATGGCAAACAGAGGAAAGGACAGACCTTTTTGGATGGGGAGGTTGAGTGGTGCTGAGGGGGAGGCAGAAGGGCATCACTAGGAAGGGCAAAGCAGCACAGGGGTAAGGATATGAGCAGCAGGCCCAAAGGGAGTGCAAAGTGGAGGATGAGGAGGTGGAGGAGCAGTCCTTAGCCTTCCCAGGACAGACTCACACTTGGAGGGACCAGGAAACCCTCCTTGTGCCTCCCAAATGCAAAGTGGAGACCAGGACAGTCCTCCCACACTGTCCCTTGGCCCTCGTGAGGAGGAGCCTCATCCACAAACAAGTCCAATAGCTGAAGAGCCTGGTCCTGGGGGCACCCTCGTCTCGGGCCCCACAGAGAGAAAGAGAGACTGCCGCCTCCTGAAAGGCCACTGCCTCGCAGCTCAGGGTCCTCTGCTTGAGGCATTGGGTGTCTCAGTCCTGTCCCACAAGCAAAGGGGGTCGGGCACCAGTGGGACGCTGGTGAAGGGGGCAATAAGGCTGCTCTGTGGCGGCGCCGGCTGGTGTGTCCTGAAGGCTCAGACAGGGAGTGGGCAGCATCCAACAGCTACTTTGCGGCAATGACAGCAGCCACAATCTCCTCATATTTGGGTGGTGGGTCACTGTAGGAGAGGCTGGGCTCCTCACAGGCGCTGCTGCTTCCGCTGCCTCCGCTGCTGACTACTGGCTGTCCGGTCACCTCTTCGTAGGAGGGGGGAGGGGTGGCGCTGGAAAGCCGGGGTGGGACAGGAACAGAGGGGGGCCGTAGGGAACTGTCCGAGGGGCCAGGGGCCCTCTGCCCCCACCGGCCTTCACCAGGCCCCCCTCGGCCGCCAGTGTTGCTGCTGCTGCTGACCGAGGCTGTAGTGGTACCAGCGTCCCTGTGCTCCCGGGCCCCATGGGCCTCACCGTGGCCGTGCTGGGAGGCCTCACGGTAGACCATCACCCGGGGAAGCCCCCTCCCCCCGCGGCTGGCCAAGTAGCGACTCTGGGCGTAGGAGGGCCGGTGGCGTGTGGCCTTCTGCAGCTGGCAGCGCCAGATGATGAAGAGGCCGATGACGATGAGGAGGGCCACCCCAAGCAGGGGCACTGCTACATACATGGCGTCCGAACGGCCGGAGCCCTCGGTGCTGCCTGGGTCCTTGACTGAGAAAGCGTAGCCACGCCAGAACTCCATCTGTAGGGGAGGCATTCCAGAAAGGAAAAGGCTTTTAAGAAGGCAAAACAGCAACAGCAGCAACAGCTTTAGCAGTTCGAAGACCTTGAGCTCAGCAGGAGAGCAAATGAGCTCTTCACAAGGTTTTCCACGACATCAGAAAACTAGATTCAGACAAACCTTGCAAAGAAATTGGAGGAGTCACGGGGCGGTCATGAGGGGGGTGTCAGAGGGGTCATCAAAGACCATCCACCTGGAGATTGGGACCCCTGGGGGGTCACATGGGGGGTGTCAGAAGGGTCGCCAAAGACCATCAGAAATCACATATTTCTGATGGTCTTAGGAACCAGGTCTGGTCCAGATCCATCATTGTTTGAGTCCACAGTGCTCTCTCAATGTAGGTGAACTACAACTCCAAAATTCAGGGGCAATGCCCATCAAACCCTTCCAGTATTTTCTGTTGGTCATTTGAGTTCTGTGTGCCAAGATTGGTTCAATTCCATCATTGATGAAATTCAGAATGCTCTTTGATTGTAGGTGAACTATAAATCCCAGCAAGTACAACTCCCAAATATCAAGGCCTATTTTCCCCAAACTCCACCAGTGTTCACATTTGGGCATATTGAGTATTCGTGCCGAGTTTGGTCTGGAACTATCGTTTTGAGTTCACAGTACTCTCTGAATGTAGGTGAACTACAACTCCAAAACTCAAGGTCAATGCTCACCAAACCCTTCCAGTATTTTGTGTTGGTCATGGGAGTTCTGTGTGCCAGGTTTGGTTCGGTTCCATCATTGGTGGAGTTCAGAATGCTTTTGATTGTAGGTGAACTATAAATCCCAGCAACTACAGCGCCCAAATGACAAAATCAAATCCCCTCTCCCAACCCCACCAGTATATTCAAATTTGGATGTATCCTAGAGTTGGAAGAGACCTACAGAGACTAGGATGCGGAATAATGGAGTCTAGTGTCTAGATCCAAGGAAGTCATGCTACCCCTCTATTCTGCCTTGCTCAGACCACACCTGGAATCGCACTGTGTCCAGTTCTGGGCACTGCAATTGAAGGGAGATGTTGACAAGCTGGAATGTGTCCAGAGGAGGGCAACTAAAATGATCAAAGGTCTGGAGAACAAGCCCAATGAGGAGTGGCTTAAAGAGCTGGCCATGTTTAGTCTGAAGAAGAGAAGGCTGAGAGGAGACAAGATGAGGGCCATGTGTCAAGAGGTGAGGGGAAGTCACAGGGAGGAGGGTTGTTTTCTGCGGCCCTGAAACTGGAATGAGGAACAATGACTTCAAACTACAGAAAGGAGATTCTATCTGAACCTGAGGAAGAACTTCCTGACTGTGAGAGCTGTTCAGCAGTGCAACTCTCTGCCCTGGAGTGTGGTAGAGGCTCCTTCTTTGGAAGCTTTTAAACAGAGGCTGGATGGCCATCTGTGGGGGTGCTTAGAATGCAATTTCTCTGCTTTTTGGCAGAGGGTTGGACAGGATGGCCCATGAGGTCTCTTCCAACTCTATGATTCCAAGAGACCTCATGAGCCATCCAATCAAACCCCCTAGCAAGACAAAGGAAAATGTGCCAAATTTGGTCCAGTGAATGAAAATACATCCTGCATATCAGATATTTACATGACGATTCATAAGAGTAGCAAAATTACAGTTATGAAGTAGCAAGAGAAATAATGTTATGGTTGGGGGTCACCACAACATGAGGAACTGTATTCAGGGGTCGCAGTATTAGGCAGAACAGAGGGCTTTTCTGACATGCTACCTCATCTGTGTACCTGCTTCCTTGATGAGGATAATAAACTTGCTCAGGATGTGGTTGAGTTCCAAAGGAGAAGAGGGGTCCAGGTCAGCTCTGCCCCTCCAGGTGCATCCTGGGAAGTTACGCAAAGGATTCCGGGGCAGCGGCCAGGGAAGGCAAGGGCCTCTAACCAAGTGCAGCCACAGATGCCCACCCCCCATCAGTAGCCATAGTGGAATGTGTTGAGTTTCAGAATGCAACGGAATGCAATGCAGTGGAGGGGGTCCCACTCCCTACCGTCTTCTCCTTGTTCTCGAAGACCTCCTTGACCTCCTCAAAGCTGCAGATCTCCTCCAGGCACTCGCGCTCCAGGGTTCCCTGCCGAAACTCCTCCAGGAAGGCATTGGCCCGGGGCAAGCGCCGCCGGAGCAGGGAGTGGGCCTTCTGGGCTGCAAGGAAGGCTATGGGGTGGAGGGAGGGGGGAGAGAAAGGGGGCAATGAGGGGGAGGAGCCCTGCACCCCCTACCTCCCCCTTTTACCCCTCCAACTGGGCGGGCTGAAGCCCCTCAGCCCCCCCCCCTCCCCTCACATACACATATGCATACACATCAACACATACGGCCAATTCTCTCACACCAGAAACGACTTGCAGTTTCTCAAGTTGCTCCTGACATGACAAAAAACAAACAAACACATACACAGACATGGGCACTTACTGGCCATGGTCCGTCCTCCTCGCCTACGCGGGTCACTTGGGGTCTCCGCCCATCTGTCAGGAGAAGAGGGAGGGGGAATGGGGAGGAGGAGTCAGGCCAAGGAAGGGAAATCTTTATAAATAAAAATGTAATGTTCGTTTGTGGGATTGACATAACTCAAAAACCACTGGGGGAATTGACACCAAATTTGGACACAATACACCTATGAGACCAACAAGTATCCATCACTCATAAAAACACTGAAAAACACAGCAGAAGAGACGTAACAACCAAAAAAATAAATAAATACATTTCAACGCATGAAGAAGAAGAAGAAGAAGAAGAACAACAACAACAACAACAACAATAACAACAACAACAACAACAACTTTATTTTTCTACCCTGCTTCCCTCTCCCCGAAGGGACTCAGGGTGCCTTACATGGGGCCCAACTCCAGGCAGAATACAATTAAAATAAAGCAATAACCATTAAAACAGCATAAAATAACATAACAAAAATAGCTAGCAACAACAATAACAGCATGCACAGAATCACATTGTTCCCCTGACTTTAATTCCAGTCGTGTCCAACTTGGAGGGAGGTGGGGTTTGGTGCTCATCTCAATATCTAAGCCCAAGAGCCGGTGTTGTCCATAGACATCTCCTAGGTCATGTGGCTACATGACTGCACGGAGCGCCGTTACCTTCCCGCCGGAGTAGATCAATAGGATGGAGTGGTATCTATTGATCTCCTCACATTTGCATATTTTCGAATTGCTAGGTTGGCAGAAGCTGGGGCTAACAGCGGGAGCTCACCCCGCTCCCTGGATTCGAACCTGCGATCTTTTGGTTAGCGAGTTTAACAGCTCAGCAGTTTAACCTACTGCACCACTGGGGGCTCCGGCAGGTGGGGGGGTTGGTTGGTGCGTATCTCAAGATCTAAGCCCAAGAGCTGGTGTTGTCCATAGACATCTCCTAGGTCATGTGGCTACATGACTGCATGGAGCGCCGTTACCTTCCCGCCGGAGTAGATCAACAGGATGGAGTGGTACCTATTGTTCTACTCACATTTGCATATTTTCGAATTGCTAGGTTGGCCGAAGCTGGGGCTAACAGCGGGAGCTCACCCCGCTCTCCGGATTCAAACCTGTGATCTTTCTGTTAGCGAGTTTAACAGCTCAGCAGTTTAACCCATTGCACCACTGGGGGCTCCGGCATAACCACATAAATACACATATACACAAATATATACACACACATATACACACAAATATATATATATATATATATATATACAGACTGGGCCACAGCAACGCGTGGCAGGGGACGGCTAGTCCGGAATGAAGATGACTAGATAGATGAATGAAGAGGGAGGGAAGGAGGGAGGGAGGGGCTCCCCCAGACTGAATGGGAGCCTCCCCCTCCTCCCGCCGGAGGAGGAAGAGGAGGTTGCCATGGCAACAGCGAGGAGGCGTGAGGGGGAGGCAGCCTCTGACGTCAGGCCACCTTTCCCAGCAGAAGCTGCGCCTCACCTGGACAACCCCCCCCCACATTTCAATTAGAGGGAATAGGGCACCCCAAGGCTTCCCCTTGCGCCCCCCTCCCCGCTGGCCCTCACCTCGGCCCCGTCGCCCCGCCTAAAGCAGAAGAAGGGGGCAAGCAGGCGGCTTGGCTCCGTCCGGCGGCGGGAGACGCCCGTCGGGCGGGAGGAAGGAGGAGGGGCGGGGGTCCTTTGGGGCGTGGCCGGGGAGCGCGTCGTGGCCAATCAGGGCCGCGGGGGAAGCCGGACCCAGTTGCTGACGTCAGAGCGGAGCCCAAAGGGAAGGGGGAGTCGCAAAGCTTTCTGGAGAGTGGAGTCTCCGGCCTGGGCTCGCTTCAGCACCGCGGACAGCGCCTGCGTCGCCTTCTCTGGCCACCAGGGGGCGCTGGTGCAGCGCTTCAGAAGGCAGGACAGGGCAGCCCCAGCCAGGGAAGGAGAAGGACCTTCTCCATTATAATAATAATAATAATAATAATAATAATAATAATAATAATAATAATAATAATAATAATAATAATAATAATAATAATAATTTATTTATACCTCGCTACCATCTCCCCAAGGGACTTGTTGCGGCTTACATGAGGCCAAGCCCACAGTAAACAAAATAAACAATAAAATAAAAAATAAAAATAAAATAAATAAACAAAAGCAATGAACAAAAAAAATCAGTACAATACAATTAATATAAATCACATAAACAAAAAAATAAGCAATAAACAAAAAATAGTAACACACAGCATTTAAAAACCTATGGCCGGGCCAAATGTAATAATTTAAAATTTTAAAAAATAATGCTGGGCATGAACAAGTCAGGATATAACTGGGATAGGGTTTTCAAAGAGAGATGAGAGAACGCAGTTAATCCTAAATCAGTGGTAAAGTGCATTTTGAGGGCATATTGCTGAGAGATTTCCTTATTCTGGGAAGGCATACTGGAACAACCACTTTTTCAGGCTCCTCGTAAAGCAGCGTTTCTCAACCTGAGGGTCAGGCCCCTGGGGGGGGGGTCACAAGGGGATGTCAGAGGGGTCGCCAAAGACCATCAGACAGCACAGTATTTTCTGTTAGTATGGGGGTTCTGTGTGCCAAGTTTGGCCCAATTCTATAGTTGGTGGAGTACAAAATACTCTTTGATTGTAGGTGAACTATAAATCCCAGTAACTACAACTCTCAAAGGTCAAGGTCTATTTCCCCCAAACTCCACCAGTGTTCACATTTGGGCATATTGAGTATTTGTACCAAGTTTGGTCCAGATCCACCATTGTTTGAGTCCACAGTCATCTCTGGATGTAGGTGAACTACATCTCCCAAACTCAAGCCCACCAAACCCTTCCAGTATTTTCTGTTGGTCATGGGAGTTCTGTGTGGAAAGTTTGGTCCAATTCCATCATTGGTGGAGTTCAGGATGTAGCTGAACTATAAATCCCAGCAATTACAACTCCCAAATGACAAAATCAATCCCCCCCCCATCCCACCAGTATTCAAATTTGGATATATTGGTTCTTTGTTTCAAATTTGGTCCAGTGAATGAAAATACATCCTGCATATCAGATATTTACATGACGATCCATAACAATAGCAAAATGACAGTTATGAAGTAGCAACGAAAGTAATTTTATGGTTGGGGGTCACCACAACATGAGGGACTGTATTAAGGGGTCACGGCATTCGGAAGGTTGAGAACCACTGTCCTAAAGACTGCCAGAGTTGGGACATGTCTGATGTCCTTGGGAAGTGAGTTCCAGAGTCAGGGGGTCACCACTGAGAAGGCCCTCTCCCTCGTCCCCACCAATAGCGCCTGCGGTGGGAGTGCGAGCAGGGCCTCTCCAGATGATCAAAGAGATTGTGTGGGTTTATACACAGAAATGCGGTAACGCAGGGAGTTTCAGAAAAACATATATTTCTGTGTTATTGACTATCTAAATATTGGGTTTCATCCCTGACTGCACAAGTCTCCAGCTCTCAATGAGTAGTTAGCCTAATAATAATAATAACAATCTTTATTTAATAACAACAACAACAACAACAACAACAACAATAATAATAATACTTTATTTATAAGGGCTGAGAAGGGCGGTTAATAAATGCATAAATAAATAAATAAATAAATAAATAATAATAATTTATTTATATCCCCCCAACATCTCCCCAAGGGACTCGGAGCGGCTTACATGAGGCCAAGCCCAACAACACATCAATAAAACAAGAAAGCAATAAACAAAAACAATACAATTACTATAAATCACATATAAACAATAAAAAATAACACACAAGGATTTAAAAACCTATGGCTGGGCCAAATGTAACAGTTTAATATTTAAAAAATAAATGCTGGGCATAAACAAGGTAGGATATATCTGGTAGGAGGGTTTTAAAAAGGACAGGAACTAGCTGTACCCGCCACTCATTGTTGTGGCCAAGCTTCCCTCCCTCTTTCTCTCCTTCTTTCCCTTCTTCCCTTTTCTTCTTTCCTTCTCTCCTTTCTTCCTTCTCTACCTCTTTCCTTCCTTCCTTCGCTCTTTGCTTCCATGCTTCCTTCTCTCTTTCCTTCCTTCTTTCTTTTCCCCTTCCTTCCCTCCTCTTCCTTCCCTTTTTCTGTATGTCATTTATCTTTTCATCATTTATCTTTTGGGGGTTTTAAGTCCTTTCCACTGTTTTTTTTTGGGGGGGGGGGGGTTATGAGTGATGGACACTCATTGGTCTGTTAGGAGTGTTGTGTCCAAATTTCATGTCATTTCGTCCAGTGGTTTTTGAGTTATGTTAATCCCACAAACGAACATTACGCACACACACACCTAAGACTATCAGAAAAATATATGTATTGTCAAAGGTTTTCATGGAAGAAATCACTGGGTTGTTGTAGGTTTTTTTGGGCTATATGGCCATGTTCTAGAGGCATTTCTTCTGACAATTCTTGCCAATGACATTCAAATTGTAATTGGTAATTCAGATGTTGCCTGCTGAAAGTTTTTGCTGACACTTATGGAACCTTAAATCCTGGCTTGACATTACTTCTGAAATAGTTAAAGCTACTACATTTCAAAAAGTTGTGTTGAGAACATAAGGTCACTTAAAAATTAATTATA